AGAGAGAGAGAGAGAGAGAGAGAGAGAGAGAGAGAGAAAAAAAAAACTCACCTGCGATGGCGAGCCAGATGGCGGGGCTGGAGTGTCGCGTCCTCGCGAGCACACACGCGCTCGTCGTCCGGAGGCGGGAGTGTGAGGGCAGCGTGGGGAGGGCTGGGCGGATGCGGGCGGTCGGTGCCCATCGACAAATTCGAATTTGAATTTGGCCCGATTTGGACTGTCGATCTGATCGATCCGACGGCCCAGGTCGGGCCTTACTGTTTCCAAATTTTTTGAGGCCTCCGGGCCTCGTTTTGCAGGGCGCTTGGTCGAGCACGACCTCCCCCAGCCATACGAAACACACCAGGCCCCCAAAGTCCCCCTTAGAGGCCTGCCCCTAATTTCCGCAGGGGCCGGACCTTCACGAGTCACCAGACCATCGGGCCGGTGGTCCGATCGGACAACCCGGACGTTTCCTTGGGTCCCGGACGTCCGGGCTGGTAACCTAGGATTTTTCTCTTTTTGCGTCGTGCCCGCGCACGCATTCCACAATGCGCGAAAGCAACCGACTTACTTTATCGGACTAACACGGGGGATTTCAGTTTTGTCTGTATCCCCACACTCAATTTTCCAAAAATCCTTGGCACACCCCATCTTGCTGTTTTTCTGGGCCTTCATTCCGCACCTTTAGCACTCCGAACGAAAGATAGCACAGGGCGTGAGGTTGGTATCGGAGCCGACACGTGTCAGTTCTTATGATAGTAAGTCGAGCTGGCGAGAGGTAGAAGAAGTCCTCAACCCGCTCGTCGAGATCGCCCGGTGACCAGATCTAGAGTTGGTGCGGCTATTCCAGCTATGCCAATGGGAGACGGTAACGTTGCGCCCCCCAGGGTAATTGTTAGTATTCCCGCCCCTCTTCCTTTCTTTCCTAATCACACCCACCCCGAAGCTTGGTTGGAAGCCGTCGACGCTCAAGGGTATGGCACGGGAGATCTCCCCCGCATCCTCACGTTGCTACTTCGCAACACTGCACATGATTGGTTTAGAAAACACACGTGGGTAGACTGGAACATCTTTAAGCAAGCCTTCCTGGCTAGATTTGACACAGTTAACGAAGACGCCGCTTGGTACGTGCTCAAGACTTGACCGCAAGGACGAGGGGAATTACTGCCTGACTTCGTGGATCGGTTTCAAACTACGTTAGACAAATCAGGGTGAGATGAAAAATCCGCCCGAGATTTGTTCATCGATCATCTGCGGAGTCCGACGTTAAAAGGTAAGTTGCAGAAAAAGGTTCCCCCTAAAA